TATATATATATATATATATATATATATATATATATATATATATATATGTATATATATATGTGTATGTGTGTGCGTGTGGTGTGTGTGTGTGTGTGTGTGTGAGTGTGTGTGTGTGTGTGTGTGTGTGTGTGTGTGTGTGTGTGTATGTGTCTGTGTGTGCGTGTGTGTGTGCGTGTGTTTCTGTGTGTGCGTGTGCGTTTATATATATATATATATATATATATATATATATATATATATATATATATATATATATATATATATACATATATTTATATATATATATATATATATATATATATATATATACATATATATATATATATATATATATATATATATATATATATATATATATATATATACATATATACACACACACACATATATGTATATATATATGTATATATGTATATATATATGTATATATGTATATATATATGAATATATATATATATATATATATATACATATATATATAAATATATATATATATATATATATATATATATATATATATATATATATATATATATATACATATATATATAAATATATATACACATACATACACATATATATATATATATATATATATATATATATATATATATATATATATATATATATATACAGTATACTTACATATATATACACGCTTACATATTTATGTACATGCATACATTCATACACAAATACATGAATACATATATACATACATGCACACATACACGAATACATTCGTACATACATATATACATACATACATAGAGCCATACGTACACAGACAGATGAATAGATATGTTAATAACAGAGTACATTCAGCCTCGCCGGATGCTTGACCCCTTCGGCGGCATAGCTAGCGGTCATCTCCCCCCCCCCCCCTCGCCTTCTCCTCTCCCCCCCCCCCTCCCCCAGCACCTTCCATTGTCTCCGATGCTTCCCCCTCCCTCCTTCCCCCTCTCCCCCTAACTCCTCCACTCTCTCCTCCTCCCTCCTCCCCTCTCCCCCCCCCCCATTCCATTTCCC